GATTGCTGGGTTTACTATTTGTATAAAGCTTTACACCTATTACATCCAAATGTTTTTGAGTCTGATGACTGGGTTTACTATTTGTATAAAGCTTTACACCTATTACAGCCAAACATGTTTGAGTCTGATGACTGGCTTTTTGATTTGTATAAAGCTTTACACCTATTACATTTAAACGTGTTTGAGTCTGTTGGCTGGGTTAACTAGCTTTATATTAAAGAAGGCATACTCCTATTACATTCAAACGTGTTTTAGTCTGATGACTGGGTTAACTATTTGTATAAAGCTTTATACTATAGAAGGCAGTAGACCTGGTGCTTCATACCTTATATACATAAGCCTTATTTTATGACCCCCAATAGTTACTGCAGAATAAAAAAATGGTCACTTTTGATCTTCCGACAGGCAGTTAAACCCTTACCATAAAAGGGTGTCTGTTGCAAGGCTAAATTTCTGTCCTATCCAATTAACCCCAATTTTCCAGTGGTAGTCCAAATTTCACGCCCTTCATTCCAGTCAACCCCTATTACATGACCTACCTATTGTATGTATTGTTAATTTGTTTTAGATGCCACTTTATTTTATGATTGTTTTTGTGATAAATCAAAGGTCAACCATGTATGTGAGATATTGTGATATTAGTCATTTGGATTTCACTATTCCTGATTCCAAAAATTAAATTGGGGAAAAATAGAAAAAGTAAAACGTATCTTTCAAAAGCTAATGAAATTAAAATCAAATTATTTCTTGGTGTAAGCCAGTTAAGTCTGAAACTCAAGAATTTGGAGAAATTTAATTGCCAGCCAATGAATTATTCACATAGTGAAGTGCTTAGAAAGTGCTTAATTTACAAAACTTTGAATTCTCTGAAATACTAAAGATTTTTTACTCCAGTAATAGATAACCTTAGCTGTATTTTTCATTTTGGTCCTCAATGCTCTTCAACTTTGTACTTGATTTTGCCTTTTAACTTTTTTTATTCAAACATCACCGATGAGTCTTTTGGTTTACAAAATTATAAGCTTGGTAATATGATATAAATAGAATAATAGAGTGATACTCTGTAGTATGTGTTATTTCTGAACAAGCCTATGAATTACAAATTAATAAACAATTGTAACATGAAATGATATGTCTAAGAAATGTTCCTGACATGATATTAAGATCTACTTTCAAAATCAATAAAAGAAAAACTACAAAATTGTAAAAAACCTGTATACCCACTAAAGGACAAGGTACAACTAATTGGCCCTTAAATGAATTGTGATTGAAATTTTCTCAAATTTTCAGATAAACTCATCATAAATACCAGGATTCAAATTTTGTAGGCCAGATGTGGGTTTTGTCTACAAAAGACTCATCGGTGACGCCTGAATCAAAAAGTTAAAAAAAGGCCAACTAAAGTATGAAGTTGAAGAGCATTGAGGACCTAAAATTCAAAATGATATCACAATTAAAACGTGTCATCAAGAATAAGAAACTGCTTGGAATATCATTGGTTAAAGCCAACACGCGGAGGCTGTATATATCTTACCTCCTATAAACTGCTAGGAATATCATCGGTTAAAAGCCAACACGCGGAGACTGTATACATCTTACCTCCTATAAACTGCTAGGAATATCATTGGTTAAAAGCCAACACACGGAGACTGTATATATCTTACCTCCTATAAACTGCTAGGAATATCATTGGTTAAAAGCCAACACACGGAGACTATATATCTTACCTCCTATAAACTGCTAGGAATATCATTGGTTAAAAGCCAACACGCGGAGACTGTATATATCTTACCTTCTATAAACTGCTAGGAATATCATTGGTTAAAAGCCAACATGCGGAAACTGTATATATCTTACCTCCTATAAACTGCTTGGAATATCATTGGTTAAAAGTAAACACGCGGAGACTGTATATTGAATACACTGTCAGTGGGCATGTTATATTTTATAAACACGGGTCAGTGGGCGAGCTATATTTTATAAACACAGGTCAGTGGGCGAGTTATATTTTAAATACAAGGTCTGACAGTGGGTGTGTTATATTTTAGATACACTGATAGTAGTAGAGTTACGTTCCTCAAATTAATATACATTGTAAATATTAATAGTTATAATTTTTGAAGCTTTTAAGTGACTCTGACTCTCTGACTGTTGATAATTGTATCTAGTATTCATCTAGACATGTCTTATAAAACTGTACTTCAGTCTTCAATCAGAAGTATGTATCTTGTTAGGAAAAGAAAAAATAGAACTAATAAAAGCTGTGCTATAATTTTTAAGACAATCAAGCTGTATGATTGAATTTTAAAGTGCAAACTCAATTATGAGTTCTTCAACAAATTCTATAATGATTATAATGATACATAAAGAAAATGAAATAGTAAAATCTCTAAAAAGTACAAAGTTGATTTTTAAATCATTTCAAAGTTCATTTACAAGAATTAATTCCAGGAAACCATTTCCTTGACATATCTGTTTTTATTGTAGCAATAAAATGTTAACTTAAATGCATTTTTTGATTGAACTTTGGTGAGTGTTAAAACATTAAATGTTATTAAGGTTTGACTAATTCAAATTAAATTAAATGGAAGTGAAATTTAGTTTTCATTACAAACATGACAAATGCAGGGGTGTCATCCTGGTTTGCTCACATTTTGAAATATATAGAAAATGTTGTATTTTTCATCATTTTACAGATAGTGACCCAAATTACTTATTTTTACCATAGTGCTTTTATTTTATTTTCTTATGCAATGCATGTATAAATTTGATTCATAAGTTAAAAAAAGATATGTTTGCAATTAAAGAAAAGTTTATTGTGTATTTATATCATAATCATTTAGATACTGACGAATTATTAAGACACTTTTCTAAATGAATGCCATTGTTTTATCACTAGTCATGTTATTGTCTGTTAAATGAATCGATTGAATTTATGTTAACTTATTGTAAAAAAAATAATTGATTTATATATTATTTGTGTATACAAATAAAAGTGGAACTACAAAATGAAAAATACCTGAATATATAGAAAACACAGATAAACTATATACCTGTAAAGTTTAAACAGACTATACAATTGTATGCTCATCAAACCTTTTGTCTTTTTTGTTTTCTTTACTAATAGATAATTGGTAAAATTTAATGTCGGCAAACCAGGAGTAAACCAAATGCAGGATAGTATGACATTGTCGGAATGGACAATGATCACTTTTGGCAAAATATGGCCTTGAATTTTAACTTTATCTTAAAATATTAAAAAAGCCACAAACTACTTCTTAAAGGATCTATCTGAAAAGCCTTAATGCTAGGTAAAACAAATCTCTTCATAACAGTACTTAATAGGCTCCAAAGTCAGCAAGTTTTGGAGAATTGTCAAAATATGATGGTTTTGTGCATTTTTCTAATCAAAAGCTTAAGGTAAACCTTGGCCACAATCTATGATCCAAAATGTTCTGTAACCAAAATGTACCAAGGTTAAAATTGAATCCAGAGGCACAAAAATTTTCTGGATCATGAATGGCCACCAAAGTAAATTATGCTGAAAACTGTTATAGGTTATGGAAAAATTGGACCAAAACTGACCTCACAACACAAATAAGGCATAATTGAGAGGTCATAAATTCAAAATTTATTATGTGATTTACACAAAGGAACTTATTTTTAAAAATCTAATAATAACAGCAATAATTGTACTTTTCTAGATTTGGATATTTCAGTTTCACACAGAAAACTCAAAACAAAATTTATGACAAAGGAGACAATTTTTGTCCAGCCTGCTAGGATTGTCATTGAATGAGAGGCATAGGAATTACTATCTGTTGGCAGTGATGGCAGCAAGGCAGTAAACTATTTGTATAAAGCTTTATATTTCAGAAGGTGGAATACTTGGATTCTTCAAACCTTGAATGCAGATGCCTTATGTTACCAAGTTTCCTTTTGTCCATCCTCTTTAACCTCATTTTCATGGTTCAATGACTGCTTGAAAAAAATGTACATTTTTTTGTCATGTGAAATACTCACTTATTACGAGTAATAGGAGAATTGATGCAAAATTTTGTGAAGGAAAATCACTACTAAAATTATATATGAATGCAAGTTTTTATACGCCCGTTTACGGGACGTATTATGGTATACCGTTGTCCGTCTGTCCGTCCGTCGTCAACATGTCGGACATTAACTCAAAAACACTTTAACCAATTTGCATAAAACTTTGAAGAATTGTTTATATCTATTGATGTGAGCTCCCTTTCGTTTTTTTATAAATTTCAGATTTTACGTTTCCGAGTTGTGAGGTTTTATTCATTAAAAAAAGGGGGATTTTCCAGTTTTCGGACAATAACTCCAAAATGCTTTCACCAATTTGCAAGAAATTTTGGTGAATTGTTTATATCTATTGACATGAGCTCCCTTTTTATTTTCATAAATTTTAGATTTTATGTTTCTGAGTTGTGGGGTTTTATTCATTAAAAAAGGGGCAGTTTACAGTTTTCCGACAATAACTCCAAAATGCGTTTAGCAGTTCTCATGAAACTTTGGTGAATTACTTATATCTATTGATGTAAGCTCTCTTTTGAATTTTATAAATTTTACATTTTACATTTCCGAGTTATGGTGTTTAATTCATTAAAAAAGGGGGGATTTTCCAGTTTTCGGACAATATCTCAAAAATGCTTCAGCAGATCTCATGAAACCTTGGTGAATTGTTTAAATCTATTGACAAAAGCTCCCTATTGATTTTTATAAATTTCTGATATGACATTGAGAAGTGATTGAACTTTATTCTTTGAAAATGCGACGGATGTATCATGCGCTCATGGCGCAGCTGTTTATTATTATTGCCAACCTGAAACTTCCCATTTTTAGCATTGACAAAAAATCTAAATAATTTCTGAATTAACAGTATTTTGTTAGGGATGGATTATTGATAGTAGAGAACAGATTGTTAAATCTATTCCAGATATCTGAATTACAATTTACAAACTACTTCTTGTTTACAGAAAGATGACAAGGATACTGCTTTTGCCCAGGCTTATTTGAACAGAACAAAAGAGGCACTCAAAGAAGAATCAGACAAATATGAACAGTTCCTTAAGATATTGAATGACTTTGGAAAGTCAGAACAATCTCCTATTAAGGTAGGTTTGTCAGAACATTGTGCATTGAGTACCTTACATGTACACGACAGTGCCAGGCATATGTGGAGCAGGATCTGCTTACCCTTCTGGAGCACTGGAAAACCCCCCTCTGGTTTTTGGTGGGGTTTGTGTTGCTCAGTCTTTAGTTTTCTATGTTGTGTTTTGTCTGCTGTTGTTTGTCTTTTCATAGTTTTTCCTTTTGATATGCCTGTCTTAAGAAGGGACATATTATGGTATACTGTTGTCGGTCTGTCCGTCTATTATCGACCCCTCGGACAATAACTAAAAAACGCTTTCACCAATTTTCATGAAACTTTGGTGAATTGATTATATTTATTAATGTAAAACCCTTTTGGTTTTTAAAAAATTTTAGATTTTACGTTGCCGAACAATGGGATTTTATTTGTTAAAAAAAAGTGGTGATTTTCCAGTTTTCTGATAATAACTCAAAAGTGCTTTGAGCAATTTTCATGAAACTTTGGTGATCTGTTTATATATATTGACATAATTCCCTTTTGATTTAAAAAAAATTCTGATTTTATGTTTCTGAGTATTTGGGACTTTATTCATAAAAAGGGGGGATTTTCCAGTTTTCTGAAAATAACTCAAAAATGCTTTGAGCAATTTTCATGAAACTTTGGTGATCTGTTTATATATATTAACATAAGTTCCCTTTTGATTTTTGTCTTATTCATGTTTTGTGTCAAAGGTTCCACTATGTATGCATGTCTTTTTTTATTTTGGAGGAAGGGCTAATTGAGTAGTGCTCACTGTATTTCTAGGCGATCATATAAATTCATTTAAAGCATAAAGACAAGCTAAAAGGGCGACGGGCGTATCATGAGCTCATGGCACAGCTCTTTATTTGCCATGACATTGTCAGTTAGTGTTTGAATATCCCTTTAGTATCTTTCGCCTCTCTTTTACATATTCTTTTCCAAATATCATAATACCTGAGTTTTTCTTTTAATCTTCATCAAGTGGATTTTTAACCTGTTTTCTGAAGGAAAAATCTGCTCATTAAAATGATGAAGTATGGCATGGTGCTGCCAACAGCTTCCATGCAATAACTTATGAACCTTTCAACAAATGCTTTTCAAATTTTAATATGTTGTTAATGAAAACTGGAGATATTGTAACACGAACTAAAGCCAGTCAGAACTGAGCATCTGTTATCATAAAAGTCAGGCATCTCACTACTTCTTTCAACTTAGTATGATAAGATGCCACAAAAATGTAAGTATGGCCTACTCCATATACATCATCCATTAAGGTCCAACCTAAAAACTCAATTCTAATGTCAAAAATTAATTACAAGATATACCTGTACAAAAATAAGCAGATGTGGTATGGATTGTCTATGTGACAACTTTATACCAGATATATCATGTAAACACAAATTTTCACATATTCTTTTAATTTGTTCAAATTATTTAATTATTAGAACCATGGAAGTTTTATATTGACAGGAACTCCAAAGAAAAATTAGCACATTCCCATCCCACTGATTTCTTTAAGAAAATAAAAGGTTCCGACTCAGTTTGTCAAGTACGTGATAACTCCTTTGTGGGGTATCTGCGATGCTGCCTTCGCCTGTTCTGTTAACTGATGCTGGTCTTATCACACGATTTGGTATCGAGTGTCTTATCTACCTACCAATGTAAATAAACACGGAAACTCCCGTGGTTATTTGTGAATGTCCACATGAATAACGACACCTGTTTTGTTCAATAAATGAAGGCAAACGCTGAAAAGATCTAAAAAATCGGTCCATATTTAACAGAATGACATAAGAAAATTAATTGCATTCGGAAAGAGGGCAAGCTTATTTTTAGTTTTGTTTAATATGTTTTAATCATTGGAACTTGTAAATCTGGAAATATCCGATATTAAAAATTACATGTACCTAAAGTCGGGTGTTTGTGGAAAACAATGTGATGTGCGTGTAGTATGTAAGATGGCGAAGGATAAGTCAAATTTAAGTTAAAGGTTGTAAATTTTTATCGAATGTTACAAGAATATTAATGGTTTTCTCTATCGTTTCAGTGTAGAAAAATGTTATTAACGTATTTATCAAATATGTTTTAAAGACTAAAAAAAGGTTAATAATTACACGCACGTGATGACTTCTACATAACATTATCAGGTTACCTTTTATAATAATTCCAAAGTTATAAACAACCTTGAAAGCATTCAACCTAGTCCGAGATTACTCTGACGTCTGACAGATTTTTTTGATGAATGGCTTTAAATATTTCTGGATGCATTTAAAAGAACGATCACCATGATGGGCCCTAAGCAGTTTAGTATTTTTTTTTTCTTAAATTTTTATCATGGGAACCAAATTTGAATTTATTTATGGGTGTAAATGCTTAACAGTTCTTAAACATCTTACATCGTATTTATTGATTGTATCTTAAACTGAAATGTTTATGGCTTGTGAGTAGTTTTACTCTTCAGGTTTTTTTTTTGGTGAAAACAGTCGCGGGGATTTCGTTTCTTTCTTTTTATTTGTTTTTACGCAGCAAAACCCGTAAAAACTGACGTATTTGTCATTTAGTGACATGGTCAGTTGATGTTATTTCCTTGACAATTAAGTACACATCCGGTTATTTCGGTATGTTCCGTAATTACGATCAATCACGAGGTTCCAAAAATTTGATCGGAACCCATGCATCCATATGACATGTCGATTTAGTTAACAGATACTTAACGATTTTGCGGCATCGCACTATAAACGTTTGAAGTCCGCTTGTTGGAGTTCCTGTCAATATAATACTTCCATGTTAGAACAAAGAATTGAAGAACAAATTTTTTCTCAATGAATATAAAAATAAGATGGGGTATGATTGCCAATGAGACTAACTATCCACCAGAGTTCAAATGAAGTGAATGTAAGCAATTATAGGCAACCATATGGCCTTCAACAACGAGAAAAACCCATACCGTATAGTCAGCTAAAAAAGGCCCTGATATGAAAAATGCGTCATAAACAGTCTGAGAAACGCATGACCTTGTTCAGTGCCAAAGTATAAGTAAACAGTAACAACAGGATGTAGGATAATGAGTTCTCATAACTGTACATATATAGCAATATATATTTAGTCATGTTATAATTTAAAAAAAAAAAAAATCAACGTTAGTACCAATAAGAACAATATTTAAAGATGTTACTACTTTGTTAAACTGATAAACTTTAAGAATAAGTTTATCCAAAGGATCAATTAGTTTACACAGATCATATCTAAATTTAGGGGCTTTTTAAACAACATCATCATAAAAATTAGGATGTGATATTCTGTTTTTGACAAGAATTCTGCAGGTACAGCCAAACTTCCCAACCAACTCTTTGAATGTATGAAAGAATTTGGTAAAGGTTTTAATTAATTTGTGGTAACGCAGTCCCTGACTAAATAATTAATCAGTTATACATAAATTAATTGGAATCTAAAACGTGACTACAGACACAGGCATAGTGAACAAGTTGTGAAATATACACACCTTAAGAAGGGCTAAAGGAACATCACTGTCCATCAAGCGAAAATTACCAATGGGAACGAAAAATTGTCTCTTTTGTTGTAAATTTTTGTAAAGAGCATCCTGTATGAAACTAACAACTGCTTGAGTATCCATTCCAAAGATTGACAAATCTGTAATAAAATTATGCTGAGGGATGTAATATTTGTGGAATACACACCTCAAACTTTAATCCATTATAAATTCTGACTTCAGTTTCTGTAACTATGACAATACAGGAAATTATCTTGTTTTCTAAGTTACTGTTACAGCTGACATGGATTAATGAAAATATTTCAGTTTATAACTGATTTCAATATATTTATAGGACGATCACTTGAAGGTTATGATTTGTAATAGTGTTAGTTAAATAATGTCACTGTTACATAATACACAATCTAATTGTGATGGTTAATTTATACTCCAAAGAAAGTTCAATCTTGCTGAAGTTGTAAGTTATATAAAAATAAGAAGATGTGGTATAATTGCCAATGAAACAACTCTCCAACAGAGACCACATGACATAGAAATTAACATAGAAGTTATAGGTCACCATAACTTTTTTGTGGGTATTTCTTCTTAAAATTTGGTTTGTGATTGATGAGGATTTAAATAAATGGTTTAAAAAAACTGCACTATCTACAGAAATAGGTACCCTACATAAAATAATTCTTTCAATTAATGGTTTTAAATTAACCACATTATCCACAGAAATAGAGACCCTACATAAAATGATACTTCAACAGTAGTTGCTTAATAGAAAGCTGGGATGAGACGAGGGGAATAAAACAGGAAAATTGGTAAAAAAACCAGCTTTCAATGTATAGATTTATAGAAATAATGTGGTGTGTTAGATACAAAACATGAAATGAAAAATCACAGGGTTCTTCTAAGATGCATACAGTTGTCCTGGAGGCATGATTTTCTGTCTGGACCATATTAGAAACTCATGCGTCGGCTGGACATGTCCTGGTTAAAACAGCTTAGTCCTATCATCATCGATATTTAGCTGTTAAAAAGAGTCTGAAAATGCGCCTCTGAATTATTCCTAAACTTAGGTATTGGGAGTCCTTATTCTCTGATTTAGATTAAAAAAAGTTTTTATTTTTATTGGTTGAAATGATAGTAAGAAATATGCTAGTTTGTATTTCAGCAGTTTTATTGAAAGTCAATTTTCAGATGCCAATTAAAGCATAATGGCTTTTGAGAAAGCATGAAAACAGTCAATGCTAGATGCTAAGTGAACAATGTAGGCTTCTTAGAAGCTTTTAGTTTGATAGTAATTGTTTTATACTGTTTCCACGAGCTATAGATAATGAGTTTATATTTCCTGTGCAGATGCAGTTTGATTTGTTGTGTCAATTGATCATGAAAATCTTTGCTTTTAACATGGCAGGAAGAATTGGTTATTTTATTTATTGTTAATTCCGTTTTAGAAAAAACATTTTGGATTATTACATTGCCATATAAATAAATAATTATGA